AATACGTTTTTGACCTTGTGTTTTCATTTGGAGACCTGAATGACCACCTTAAAACTCAGAGCTGCATCTCAATTCCAGTGTCCACATTTGTGCTCACTGTGCTCTGTCTACTTCAATTATTCAGCACAAAGGTGGGGTCGACCCACAGAGGTAGACCTGATACCTAAAGGATCCACACACACTGCAGGAAAACCAAGTGACCGCATGGTGCATTGTTAGAAGGTAGGGTTGGGGTCAAACCACAGAAAATGAGGGGACAGGTGAAGATCCGTCTGTCACACCCAGCACTGCATATACTGGGCTAAGAGCCTGGGTCCTGGCTGGCAGCTGGTGTTCATCCCTAGTAGAAGTTATGACTTAGAGTAGGAATGAAAAAAATTACTTCAGTGATGTTCATTTGAATTTCACAGGTTTTGCAGTTCTCTTTGTAGTTGTAAAGTTGATTTTCATTTCATAGTCATGTAAGAACTATATGCTGTTTGTATACCTGGTTTTATTCTTTTTACACACCTATGTAATTGATTTTTGTTTGGTTTTTGTTTTGTTTTGAGACAGAGTCTCACTATGTAGTTCAGGCTGGCCGTAAGCCCACTTTGTAACCCAGGGTGGCCTCACAGCGATCCCTCAGCCTCCTGAGTGCCAGGATGACAGGCGTGTGCCACCACATCTGGCACGCCTAAGTAATATTATAACAAAGGAGTCCCTGGGTGTCTGTTCCCTCTGAAAGGATTCTCCCCTCACCCCCCACATCTATCCTGTCTCCTTTTCTTGAGGAAGGGGCAGTGGTCATGCACATTTTTTCCACTGAATGGACAGGGAACAAGGAAAGGGCCACCCCAGGACAGCGCCACTCAGGAGAAAGGCAAACCCTCCTCTTGCACCCTGACTTGCCCTGAAGTTGACAGTGGGGCTGTTAGTTCTGAGGCGAAAGGAAGTTGGCTGCACAGACCGGCTGCTCTCAGCTGGCCAGGTCAGGAGGCCAAGAGTGGGGGGCCTAGAGGCTGAGGGTGCAGTGGGTCCCTCCCTACCTGCCTTGTGAAACAGCCAGGATCCACCACCAGCAAACTGGAGGTGACAACAATGAGACACAGGTTGTAGTTACCATGGGTTTCCTTTAGAAGTTCCCTAAGCTATGGAAGTCATGAAAGTAACACCTTTGCATCTGAGGAGACCACAAGAAATAAGCACTCTCCCAGCCCTCAGGGTCAAAAAAGCAGCTCTGTTCTCTTATCTCAGAGTCATGTCCAAACACACTGGCTTTTTGTTTTCTTTCTTTTTTGGTACTGAGAGTTGAATCCAGGGCCTTCATACTGTTACATACAACCCAGCCCTTCTTTTTTTATAAAACTGTCTCCCTAAGTCACTCAGTTTTCCAGGTTGGGCTTGACTTTGGGATTCTCCTGCCTCATCCTCCCAGTGTTAGGACTACAGGCGTACACCACACCTAAACACCATGCCCAACACACATACGTATTTATAGGAGGTTTTGGTTATAGTTTGACAACCTAAAATCACCATATTCAGGCCTCTGCCACTCATTTCACCTAAAATAATCTTAACTTTTCAGGGCAATGGATGGAGACCGAGAACTAATTTTTTTTTTTTTTTTTTTTAAGAGTGCAAAACATTCCAGAAGGCAGATGTAATACTATTTCCTCAGGCATTTGCCTGAAGATGACCGTCAGATTATTTGTAAGTTTTCATTCCTGGCCATTACAAGGAAGGCTGCAATAACCAACCTTTGTTATGAGGCTGTCTTCCCGGCTCCTTTTTGGATGCATTTCTAGAAGTGAGCTCAGTCAAGGTAAGTGGCTAATTTTTTTTAAGTTTAATAGCTGTTTCTGACATTATTAATCATTCTTTTTACACATGTGCATTGAAGCAGCTGCTATGTACAGGACACAGTGGTAGATGCACAAAAAGTAATCAAGAGAAAGCTTTGCCTCTAGATATACAAATATTAACAAGTATTTAGATAACTGGTGTATAATACTTATATAAATAGCTCTTAGTTATGTACTGGTTTTAAATTCTATAAGTGTTTATATGACTTGGTGCAATGGACAGAGGACCTAAAGGGAAGTAGCTGTGGATCTGGGAAAGTGCGTATGTGTGTGTGTGTGTATCTTTGTCCCATTCCTCATGGACAGAGAGGGATTTGAGAGGGCTCTGTGCTGGGGTCATGTCCATGTGGCCCTTCTCCTCATCCTTGGTCTCCTGGAAGAGACAAATCTCTGTACCTGGGATGCACTGCTCTCACTGCTCTAACTGCCGTGTCATTAGGCATTCTATGTGCTAACCTTTTACATGTATTGTCGTATTTGCATGAATCTTTACAAACCTGTTACTGAGCATAATAAATGACCCCCAAATGCTAGTGGCTTAAAACAGCAAACTCATTTATTCTCACAAGTTTTATGTGGCTTTTTTTTTTCAATACTGGGGATTAAACTCAGGGCCTCTCCCCAGAGATAGGAGAGGGAGAAACAGCAAGAGAGAGACAGTGAGAAAGAGAGAGAGAGAAAGAGACAGAGAGAGAGAGATATGTAGGAGTAGAGGTATAGGAGAGAGAGGGAGGGAGGAGAAAGGTGGGGGAGAGAGACTGTCTGTGCATATGGGCACATGGTAGTCTGTGGATATGAGCATTCACCTGTAACAGTGTGGACATAAAGCCCACACGCATCACAAAGACCATCACACAGGTACACTTGACCTCTTCACAGGTAATAATGAGGCTGTGCCTTTAGTTGAGGGGAGGCCTAGGAAATCACAACTCAGGGAGTATCCTAAGACCAAAAGATTCATTATACTCATAAGCTGTATCCAAAGAGCAATTCCTCCATCCTTAGTATTGGAGACGAGTGAGATTTGCCTTCCTACCCTTGCCAAAGTAGAGCCCCAGAAAGGGAATATGAGTGAAACCAGGGAGTCCCTGCTCAACTCAGAGCTGGAGGTAAATGCACAGTGGCGGCAGGGAGGCCTCTGCTACCCACTGCAGTTCGAGCCTTCTGACGCGGTACTGAGCTCAGGCAATACTCTGTGGGCAAGTCAGTCACCCTCTCTGGTTTGTTTGCTGTATCCCAAAACATGGCTAATGACTGTGGGATTGGGCCCAGGGAAGCGTTCTTAAGGGCTCAGAGACATTAATGAACTGTAATGCCTTAATATTGAAATGCATCTTGTGAACACACAGTATCATTTTCCCACAGGTGAGGCTTGTACACACCTGGGTAGCGACCCTGTGTTTTCCAGGTAGCAGAAAACACACAGGGTTTGGGCAGCAAGGGGGACCAGGATGGGGCAGAAGTCTCTTCAGGGAAGTCCAGGCGACTTCTGGAACCAAGGGGCTGCTCAGGCTTTTTTCCTGTGTCCGGCTGTTGGTTGTCAAGCACTTCCTACAAAATAGGTGCTGCTGTGTGCTTGAAAATAAAGATGATGATCTCATGGAGCACATATTCTAGTCATGGGAAGACAAGAAAACAAATACGTAAGCATGCCTGGCAGGTGCTCTGAGGAATTCAAGTAGGTAAAGTTAGTAACAATGGCAAGACATCAGGAGAGGGCATTGAGCAGATGCAAAGAAGCCAAGAGTTACACTATGGAACGGACACACCTTAGATTGAGGCTAGAGCCACTAGGGTTCTGGGGCAGAGACCAATAGCATGAGACAATTCTCTCCCGTGCTGGTTATGCATCCTCTGCTGTTCTCTAGGGGGGCTGATCTCACAGCCTTGTCCTCACCTTTTGGTTGGTGCCAGCCAAATGAAGACCCTCGCTTGGCTGAAGAAAGAAGCAGGGATAGTAATACTCACACTCACACTCCCTACCATGGCAGTCGGCGGCTTGCCTTCTTCTGTGAGAATTCTGCAGTTCCCACCTGCCCTCCTCAGCCCCTTCCTGGCTGCTCCTCATGTCCTCTGAGACTCCATGGAGTGCGGGTTGGTCTTCTCCAGGAAGCCCTTAGGATTACCCCACAGATGAGCACTGCGTACCCAACTGTCCACACACAATGCCTGGACTTTGTTAGGTCAGGAAGTGCATGAGTTTTGGCCCTAGCCACTCACCATCCCAGGTGAAATATGAACTGCATCCTTAGCGACCACGAGGCTCCTCATCTACATAGCAAAGGCAGCAGAAGCTGGCTCTGCAGTTCCTTAGGATCTCATTGCCCTAGAGGTCTAAACCTTCTTCTTCCCAAACCCTGCCAGCTCCCTAGCTGAAGAAATCCTGTCTATCTACCTACCTCCACATTGTGACTCAGTGCTGCTTACTACCTTGATAACCCATTTATTACTTCTTGGAAAAGCCCAACACTGTGCCTGCTCTTCCTGTTAGAATGCACATTCTGCAGACACATGGGACTTTCCTGTCTTGTTCTGTGTGAACAGCATTCTAGGCCCAACCACATGAGGACTCAGTATATTGAGTGACTTAAGTACATCAAATTCCTCAGCACCTCCACAAGGGCCATGGCCAGAGTCTCGGCAATGCTGACTTCTCTGGATGTGTGTGGAGGTAGAAACCTCCAGGCAGAACAAGTAGGATAACCCCAAGAAGACAGAACACTTTTAATTCATGGAGCAGCTCTAGCTTTTTCATTTCTGAGTGAATAGAGACCTTGATTACCAGAGCCAGTCTCCAGGATCAGCGAAGCCTCTAAGAGGGATGGCTATAAACCTCAGCCAAAGGTTCTAAGAAGCCAAGCTTAAGCAGGTCCAGGAGAGCAGCATCTACTACCCCAAAGCTGCCCACTGTGGTTCACCTGGCCATCCCCAGGACGGCAGGTAGGACCCAGGAAGCCTTGTCAGCAAATGCTGCTGTTCACTGTGCCCTATTTAAGGGCATAGCCTGGTTCCTACAAATAAATCCTTCTTTAGGCCAACTGATAACTCCTGCCCATTGTTCAATTCCCATCCTAGATACCTCCCCTCCCACCCAGTGGGGTGCCACTGTCACCAGGTCAACTCTTCACTCCCAAAGAAATCCAAACAGCACAGAGGTGAATCAATCAACCTTTAATGTCCAAAAGAGGCATGGATGCAGAGCATAGGAGATATGGCAGGGGCTCAGTCCCTGCTCCAGAAATGAGGGAGATGAACACAAACCAGACACTTTCAATGGCCACACAAAGTCTGGAAGGGCAGGAAGAAACACAGATTTGGACATTCATAAAAAAAATAAAACCTAAAATCAAACAGTCTTGTACTCGCTAAACAGTTTCACACAGAGAACTCAGTCACCACCCCAGTTTCTGCCCTCCCCCATCACTGAAAAGAAAGCTCGGCGCACACTAAGGGCTTGGGGAGGAAATGTTCTCTTTCTTCCCACTAGCTCCAAGAATGGACTGAAAAAAATAATAAAAAGAGCTGGACAGCCCACCCTCCCCCAGTGTCAACCCTACACAGGAGTTTTGAATGAGTCATGAGAATCAGCAGCTCTATCAGCAATGATCACCCCACCCCACCCCCACCCCATTCCTATGTCATCAGACAAGATTTCCCCTGCATCCTCCCTGGAATCTCCTCTTGCTCACACTATCTTACTTCATCTCCTGTTGTCTGAACTATACCACTGCAAACTGACCTCCAAAGTTCCACCAAAGTCCCTCTTGGCTCTTTATCATTTCCATCCTTCCCTCCCACTGGAGGCTGCAACTGTCCAAAGTCACTCCCCCCTTCACTGGGACCTAGCTCCAGGACAGTCAATGGCATGGTCATCTTGTCCTGGGTGGCCTTGTAAAGCCTTCTCAGGGAGCAGCCAGAGGGCAACTAGCGTCTGGGCTAAATGACTGAGGAGAAGGTGACACTTGTCCTCACCCCCACAACAGACACTCCCAGATGTGTTTAACATAAAGGCCCACTTAGCACTGTGCTTCCTACTACCATACACCCTCTAGAGATTCCACCTGTCTTGCCCCCTCCCCCCAAACCCACACATACACACATACACACACATACAACACAAAGGAGAATCAAGGGAGACATTGATTTGGTTTGATTGCTAAGACCTAACTAAGGAATTACACTCACCAGAAATTCCCTTGCCAGCCAACTAACAACAGGGGCTGTTCTAAGAGAACTTCAGAGGAATGAGAAAATCAAGGGCGAAGCAAGGAGCAGACAGGAGAGAAGAATGTAAAACAAAAAAAGTCAAGCTAATTCTACTTCCAGTATCTTCCTAGCACATCTCTGTGCTAAAAAGAATCAAAAAGGTAATCCATAGACACAGCCCTTACTAAGAAATCCTGACAAACACAGCAAGACAAGTCTGCTCCACACTCCCACACACCACAGACACATCGCAGGGCCCCTTAGGAACCCACCCCCAACCCACCCTCTGCCCCAAGCCATAAAATCACAGTTCAGTGGAATATTCTCCCTGGTACTAGATCAATCCCCTCACTCTCCTTTCTATCCTTCTCTCCTTGCCACTCCTAACACTGTCCCCTCAGAACCTCCCTGCTTCTCCCAAAGCAGCATCCACCATCAGAAGAGGCAGCTGCACAGTTTTAGTTCCACCTCCAGAGACCTATTTCTTTTCCTCAGCCCTCTTAGTTTTTTGGGCTTTGTTGAGGGCTTCTTATTCTGTATAGGGAGAGAATGAGAAAAAGGAGTAGGGGGGTTTACCAAATTTCCTAGTGCAATACAACCCAAAAAATGTTTTTTAAGTCTTGAAAAATAAATGTAAAGCAGCCTTCTTCCCAGGCAACTAAACAGAAAGAAGTTTGGTTTTGTTTACTGCGACATACACATGAAATCGAGTATACAGTCCATGCAGTAGCACAGCCATTGGAGAGGACATTCTGATGCTGGCCCCAGTGCAAAACAGTCCCAGCAACGCCGCCTGCTTGCCATCGCTGCTGCCACCACTGACACCTTTACTACAGCCACCTAGCCTGACTTGAAGAGGAGGATTGCAACTTGACCCAAGTAAAAATAGATGAAGTGCTTTGTCTCGTGTGTGACGTAGCTGCCAAAATTTCGGCCCACGATACAATGCCAGGTAGGATTATATTTCTTGTCAAATTCCTAAAAAAAGAATAAAAGGGAGAGAAGAAAGGTGATTAGGGTACCTGGAAGATAAGTCTGCATGGGAGTCTCTCCTCACAATTCTAGCACTCACACATTTAGTTACTTACCCCGCCTGAACCTCAGAAGCTCAGGTTCTAAGGTTGGCTAGCACGTTCCTCCCTCTCATCAATAATAGACTACCACAAAGGCCGCATTATTTCTCCCTGCCAAGCCTCTAGCAAGCTACTCCCTGGTCATCTCTCTCCCTTTAGCTACCTCACCCTTTCACACCACTGTTTACCGTCCCTGGAATTCTTCAAACAAGGCAATCAGAGAGGCCAGTGGAATGAAGGGCCCTTCTCAGCAGACAGATAGGAAATGGCTACTCCACTGCCAGTCCCATTACTAAATCAGAAATTTCAAAGACCAAAAACTGAGACATTAGAGGAAATGAGGACTAAACATCATTACTAGAAACTAGTTCTATATAACTGACCACTAAAAGCAATCCCATGCATCCGATGTAGGCTACATGCACCTAAAGAATGACCTCAGCCATGAGAGTAAGGCAGGCCCCTCATTCTTATCAGAGACACAAAACCACTCAGGAAATCTCTATGAGCTAATTAAGACAGACAGCTCCCTACAACCCCACTGTCCCACCCATATGCTCAGTTCTAGATGCATCCTCCTGCCATGGGTGTGAAAAGGCAGCAACTCTTCACTAGGGGCCCGTTAATGCTGCCCACCTTAGGTGCTACTCTCTCCCCCACAAGATCTCAACATACAACTTGTCTGCCCTCCTCACAACCCCTATTCCACGCAACTCCAAGAGGTATCAAAGAACAAGGAAGCCAAACCAAGCTTGCATCCCAGATCAAGACTTTTCATGTAATCCAGAAGAGCATGTCATTCCCTGGGTCTCATTTTTCCCATCAGCAAAACAAGAAAGATGGACCAGACAATCTAAAGAGTTTCCTGGTTCTGAGTCTATAATTCTGCATTTATTCGTTGGACAGGATAAGCCACTATATAGCAAGGAGCCAGCAGTCCCAACTGGCTCTGCATCCCTTGGCTCCACATACACAAAAAGAAGTTTCTCAGGACTCCCGAGCTTCCCCTTATCCCATTCATCTGAGGAAGAAAACAAAGTTCCATAAAACTCAAAGATGATTCTACTGACAATATATGGACCAGACAGCCACTACTTTCACATATCCTTCTGAAGATGCCAGATCTGACTTTCAAAAATTGGGACTATGGGGCCAGGGGGCCAGCTACAGCTCAGTGGCAATAAGTGCCTGCCTGGCAAGCACGAGGTCATGAGTTCGATCCACAGTACCAAAATAAATAAATAAATAATAAAAAATTGGGACTATGCCTCAAAAATAGATATAAGTCCTGAAGGGGAACCAAGGAACCTACTTAGCCCCTTGTATTTCTGGTTCAATAGCTCCTCACAGTATTAATCATACCCACTCACACATTCACTTAGGAATTTTGCAGGTACTAAACCTACCACCCCAAGATTGATCATCCTCTTAAAAACAATTATACAAGGCCAAGCATGGTGGTACACGCCTGTTCCAGCACTCTGGAGGCTGAAGCAGGAGGATGGTTTCGAGTTCAAGGCTAACCTGGGCTATATGGTGAATTGAAGGCTAGCCTGGACTACATAATGAGAGGCCCTATCTCAAGAAAAAACAAAAACAAAAAACCCATTAGACAATGTTTTTTGTACCTGTGGGTTTCATATCCATTGATTCAACCAACCACAGACTGTAAACATTCAGGAAAAAAATTGTGTTTGTACTGAACGTATATATATTTCCCCCTTTTTATTATTCCCTTAACACTATTTAGATAGCTGTCACACTATATTAGTGATAAGTAATCCAGAATTATATGCAGTATTAGCGCATTTTACAGGAGGTATGTAAGAATCTGTAGATTTTGGTATCTGAGGGGGTTCCTGGATCCAGTTCCTCTCAGAAACCAAGGGATTGTATCTTCAGGCCCATCTTTTCCTTAAAGAATGTAAGGAGGGGTGGGGAAGAAAAATAAATAAATAAAAATTTAAAAGAAAGAATGTAAGGAAAAGGGAATAATGCAGTAACGTGGATTATCTGAAGGATAACCACCTTTTTCTTTTTTAAGTATTTTGGGCTGGGGTCCTGTTAATATATTTCAGGCTGGCCTTAAACTGTGTAGCCCAGGTTAGCCTTTGAACTCACAGCAATCCTCCTGCCTCACCCTCCTGAGTCCTGGGTTTACAGGTGTGTGCCACCACACCTGGCAAGAATACAGCATTAAAATGATGCAGTTTCCTGAAAGTTTATACATGATCATATATTACTTATTCAACTATTATTGGATAATTCTGAATTGAGCCAGTAATATTTAATTCTGAAACTTCTTTGCCTAGTCTTGTCCTTCCACAGACCTTACAGTCATATAATTATCCGTAAATGTAAATAAACATGAGTGGACATCTTACTAAGAACTCCAAAGCTAAATGCTTTGGCAATTCAGACCCATTCCCTAACTTGTCTGCTTTGTAGTTCCTAGAGTTTTGTGTACATAGAATATATCTGCTTTATGTCCCTGGTTCCAGTCCTCCATGAGTGTAGCACAGGTTCCAACCCCATCCCTGGTCACCATTCACAGTTCTTCAGGCATACCTTCTTGATATAAGCAGCAATGTCCTTCTCTATGTTGTACTTTTCCATAGCCTGTGTGGCGCAGTCAACAGCATCCTGTTGCATGTCCTCAGACATGTCTGCGTTCTTGATCACTGCCTTTCGGTCAGACATCGTGACACTGCAGAAAGAGCAGAAAGGTGAGGCTGACAACTGAACATGAACTGCTGGGTGAGAGACCTCAGGGGGACAGGGGGAAGTATAGAACACACAGACATGAGACCATCATGAGAGGTAGCGCCTAAGCTTTTAGCAGAAACATGGCTCTTACTCCTTGAAAATACAGGGCAAGGAGGAAAAAAGACATGAGCCATCAGTTTGTATCACATGTAAAATGAGACTATTCTAACTCTAATACCTATTTCCAACATTCCAAACAGCACTGATAGCAAAATTAGTATTACAAGAGATCACCTACCTGTGTCTTTGGACAAGTTAACCTTTGTGTTAAGTCCTCATTTGTATATCAGGGACTGTAGGGTTATCCTGAAGATAAATCAGGTGCATAACATCTAAACAGAATAGGCCCTTGATTTAATGATATAATTTACATTACTAATATCAATAGAAAGAAGATGGCCTAGCTAGAAATCAGTATTCCTAACTTCTGGTCCTGACTATGAACATTGTGGTCATGAACAAGTCCACTGGCCTATGAATTGATTACCTCCATTTTAGCTGTTAAGTCAGTTCTCTTTTGGAGGTTGCTATAAGAACTAATGTTACATGACAGCACCTACAAACATAGAACATTTATACAGGGAGCTGTCCATTGGTTAGGTTCAGCCACCACCTTTTTATAAAATAAAATTCTGAAGCTAGGCATGGTGGCACATGCCTGTAATCCCAGAACTTGGGAGGCTGAGGCACGAGGATCATTGTGAGTTGGGGCCAGCCTGGGCAACAAGGTCAGCCTGAACTACATAGTAAGACTTTGTCTCAAAATGACCAAAAGAAAAAAATCTGTAGGAACACATTACAATGATAGAGTTGGATAGTGATGAAAATGTATGGTTCCTAAAACCTAAAATATTTACTAGGTTAAAAAAAAAAAAAAAAAAGAAGTTGCTAGTCTCTTTCATACAAACAAAAAAAGGGCAGAGTACCTTCTGGGCCACCGGATGTCCAGTGGGGAAGAGGTTAACAGCCTTCTCCTACATGCCCAGTACTGCCACACCCCTAAGAGGCAGAGAAGCTGGGGCAGCCTTACTCAGCAGACTATTCACAAATGCTATGCTATGTCATGTCATCTCGTCCTCCCTCTACTTCTCCACTCTCCTCACTATAGAGTTCAATCATTAAGCTCAATGTAATTTCTGAAAGCTCTAGATTTTAGATCCAACCCTAACAAGTTGTTATTTCTCTGGATTTTGGGCTCATGTAAAATTTACTCATTCAAAAAGTACAAACCTATGAGATAAAGTCAAGGATTATGTTGGTGAATAATTTGTTTTCCTTACAGGTATTTGAGTCCTCCTTTTACCTATATAACACAGGCCTGGGGAAAAATCTGTATATAGAGGGGGAGAAAAAAACCCAGAGAAAAGTGAAGAACTGATGTTTCAACAGCCCTGTTACCCATTTGTCACCTGGGCCTTGGCATTCATCCTGTAGAATAGAATCACAGCACCCAGACAGAACCTACACAGACTATCTGAGTTGAGAGGAAGCCCTGCCTGGCAGTCCACAATATGTGAAATATTTGCAGCAGTAGAGGAGATGAGCTGCTAAGCCCTGCCCTCTGTTCTCAACCACATTTCATCACACAAAGCAGTAACAATCCCTTCATCCCACCTCCCCTGGGCACTATTGTGTATGCAGCCAGCCCAATGGGCAAAAGATGCTGTCAGTCTGGACCTGCTATACAAGGTGATCTCTTGTGTAAATACTGTCTGCTTCAGGACAGATCCCTGGTATCATTCCAAGCCACTCTGATCTCCAGGTCCACACTAAGACTAGATGGGATGAAAGGAAAAGCTGAACTTGAGAATATTATTTCAACCTGCGCCAGATGTATAGAATGGCAGCCTGTTAGCCCTTGCGTGGATCCAAGGCACCTTCACCTGGCACTGTCAAACTAAGCAGAGCTCCTTTCACTCAGCAGTCACTGTCAGAGAACAAGGGGTCAGTAATCAGTACCCTCTACCCCCATACTCCAGAGAGGAAAAGTCCGAACCTGAAGAAGTTTCTGAGGGCCCATATGTGTTAAGAAAATGTCAGGCAAACCCTGTCCAAGGCCTGACTAGCCTAGCCATGTGACCTTGGGCAAAGAAATGTATTAAAAAAAAAAAAAAAAAAAGGCTGAAATGACTAAAATGGGGCAACCTTAATGACTCTGAGCAAAGGTATAACAGCAGTACAGAAGTGTTATTATAAGGCTTTGTATAAGTGAAGAAATACAGTGTCACCTGGTGGCCTATTCCAGATTACCACTCAGAAGGGGGCACTGTTTACAAATCCATAGGTGAAGGTGAGGCCTGGTACAGACAACGAAGTCAAAGTATGAAATTGGCACCATTTTGCCAGCAGTTCACCTGCTTCACCGCCTCATTCCCAAAGTCCAACGGAACAACTTTGTCACAGTAATTAAAAGCCACCATACTCTCCAGGAGAGAGCCTGCAGTTACATAATGTTGGTCTTGTGACAACAATGCCACAATTCACCACCACCGGCCCCTCGGACACCAGAGGGAGGTTAAGGCCCAGCCCCAACCAGCCCTCTGTCCAAGGTGCCGGTGAAAAAAGAATAGGGAGCTGCCCAGACTAGTCCCTCCCTCCTGGGGAAAAAAAAGGGACCTGAGCCTCCGGATATAAGGATGGCCAGAGGGCCCCAAGCCAGCTGCTTCGGTCACGAGCCCTTTGAAAAGCAAAAGAAGCACTCCAGGGCAGTTATCCTTTCTCCGGTTTTGCGACGACAAAAAAAAAAAAAAAAGAAAGAAAGAAAGAAAGAAAGAAAGAAAGAAAGAAAGAAGAAAGAAAAAAAAAAACGCTGAGCCTCTTAATGACACGGAGTCTTCCCCATTCGCCAACATACAAATGCTCTGATTTCTTCCCTCCAGATCTCCAAAGGGACCGTACCCTCCGCCTTCGCGTCCTCTGGGAAGCTGCGGTCCCGAGGGCAGCACCCGGAGAAGGAGGTGTCCCCTCCTCCCCACTCTGGCCACAGCCGCCCGGCCAGGTCCGCAGGCCGCGCTCGGTCGGGCGCCCTCCCCCGCCTGGCCTGGAGCGGCGCGGAGTAACTGGGCGTCCTCGCCGCAGGAAGGACGCCCCAGAGGGTGGCGGCGAAGGCGCCGCGTCACGCCCGCGCCCTCTCCACCCCCTCTCCCCTGGCCCCAGACACCCGAGGCCTCCACACTACAGAGGCAGACCCTCGGGGTGGGGGCTGGCAGCTCCGCAGTCCGGCGCCTCCGGCGGCGCCACGAGGGTCACCGGGACTCGGGGTGGCGCAGGCTGGTTGTGCAGGCGGGAGGGGCATCGGGGGCGCGCGAGGGGACCAGCTCGCTCGGGCCTGAGTTACAGCTTGGCGCTGCGAAAAGCGAAGAGGCCACCCTCGAAGGACGCATGGCCGCCGCCCGGGGCCGCCCGCTCCCGCCGCTCACCTTCACGGAGCAGAGTCCGCACGGCCCCGGGGGAGCAGCGATGGGCTGAGGCAGAGCACCGGCAGGGGCGGTGTCCCCTGGGCTGCTCCTACAGCAGCAGCAGCCGCCGCCGCCGCGGTGTCCGGCTCCCGCAGCCCGGGGCCGAGCGCTCGCACCGCCGTCCGCTCTCCGAGCTTCCCCGGCCGCCTGCGCTCCGCCCGCGCTCCGCCTCGCGCCGCCCGCCCGCCTGCTTCGTGCTGACGCCTCACCGCTCCGCTCCACTCCGCTCCACCGCTGAGCGCGGCCGACGCGCTGCCCCGCCTGAAATAGCGCCCCGCCCCCGCCCCCCTCCCGCAGCGCGCGCCGCCATTCGCGCTCCCCATTGGCTGAGCCCGCCCGGCCCCGCACTGCGGGCTTCTCCCCGCGCCGCTCTCGCCCTACATCTTGTTTCCTCCCACAATGCCTCGGGGCGGAGGGGGGCGGGGAGGAGAGCTGAAGAGAGTGGGGGGAGGGAGCTGAGGTCGTCACAAGAGAAAAAAGAAGAATGCAGACCTTTTCGACCCGGGTTGGGAAGGCCACGTCCTGGAGAAGAGGAGGAGGGGCGTGGAGACCCCGATACCAGGGAGAAAAAAGAAAGAGAAGGGGGTGGAGGTTTCAGACCCAAGGAGCGAATAGAAGGGGTACAGGTCCCAATCCAGATCACCAACCTCAGGAAAAAAGACAGGACAGGACATCGCTTTCCGAAGGACGGGCTGCCAGCCGCGTTTTGAAGTAGAGGCATCAACAACCCCCATGTACCCCACCCCTCAGGTTCTGGCAGGGTCCCTTCGCCCTCCCACTCAGCCTTTGTTCCTGTGTCTGAAGGCCACAGACTTACCTCCCAGCTGGGGCCCCAGGCAGTATTGTGTTCAGAGAGATGGAGGCTGACCCTAAGCAAAACCGAGAGAGGGAGCTTTGTCTTGGGGGCTACACAGGCCTCTGCTGTCTTCACAGGTTTATGGCCTTGGGGTGAAAGTAAGCGGTCTCCTGTCAAATGACCCCACCTGTCTAGTTAGACAAGATTAGGGGTGAACAGAACCCCCTAGAGATGTAGCCCAAAGCCTGTCAGTACTGTAAAGACTTAAAAACCACGTTAGAGAGAGCCAAGGTTTGGAGAGGGTAGAGCCCTTGCCAGACCAGCACTGGTCGGACTAGACTTGCGCAGCAGCAGGAGAAAGGGTACCTGGCACCAGGTCCTGTGTAGGTGGTCAAGGCTGTGTGTGTGTGTGTGTGTGTGTGTGTGTGTGCGCGCGCGTGGGTGGGTGGGTAAACGTGCACACTGAAGAATGTCGCTGTCCTCCACTCTACTTTTTTTTTTTTTTTTTTTTTTTTTTTTGTGCCAGGGATCTAACTCTCAGGCAGGCGCTTATGCTGCTGAGCTAAACCCCGGTCGGGAAATGGCTTTTCTTGCCTGAGTGTTTCATATAGGAAATCTTAAGGGAGTCTAGCGTCTTCACTAAGAGCCAGGCATTTTACCCACATAGTGGGAATTCTTTTCCCCTTCCCTGCCCCAAGCCACAGTCAAAAAGTCGGACTTGCCTTGGCCCTGACCTGCTCTGATTGGGAGACTCTTGTTAGTGTTCGGGATGTCCCAAGGGAAACCTGGAAAACTGTTCCCTCTGGCGTCTGCTTTCCATAGCTGTCTTTTCCTCTCCTCGATCAGGGATTCTAGAGAAACAGGCAAGACTGGGGTATCTGTCTCCCTCACAGAAAGGGTATTCTGATGTCAGTTCTGTGTTAATGGGGGGAGGGGCACCAGTGTTAATGGGGGGAGGGGCACCAATGGGGAAAGAGGAACGAAACAAGGATGGGTTTATTCACTTGGGGCTTTTGCAGAGCTAGCGTCATTCATTAACTTGCAGCCCCTTCCGAATCCTAAGAATCAGAACTGGTGTGTATAACCATACAGGTTGTAGGTTGTTCACTGCACGAGGGTATCTAGCTGAAGAAACAAGTGAAGACTAAAATATAGCTTCCAGTCTATTCACTAAGCTGTATGTCCTGGTAGAGGCCAGTATCCACCTTTGTGACCCTTTTCAAGTGTACATAAAGGTGTTTATGAATCAACAATGGCCCTTCAAAGGCCATGCTGCCAGAGCATAAATTCTTCTCCTCCCTGCTCCCCTAACCTGGAGTGCAGTAGGGAAAGAGTTCAGTTATTCCTAGTATGGGTTGTAGTGGGGTGGAAGTAGGACAATGACAAGAGTCAGAGCCAAGACTTTTGGCTTTTCAGAAATGTGGCTTAGCGTGTGTGTATGTGTGTGTGACAAGGGCCAGACTCCATAGGGTCTGAGGGGCACTTATTAATAATAGTATGGTTTATAGGTAATAATTACCTTTCTAGAACCCTCACTCTGCACCAGGCTCTATTCTCAGCATTTCCTTTTTTTTTTTTTTTTTTTTTTTTTTTTTTTGTACTGGGGATCAAACTCACGACCTCCCACTTGCCAGGTAGGCATTTACACTGCTGAGCTAAATTCCCCATTCTCAGCATTTCAAATATAGTGAATTCTATTTAACTCTGGGAACTGTCTTTTAAAGTGAATATATTACTACTCCCCCCTGCAGTTGAGCAAACGTCAACTTACAGAAGTTCTCAGGGTCCAGGGATATAGCTCTGTGGCACAGCACCTATCTGGCAAGTAGGAGGTCATGAGAAAAAAAAGAAGTTCTGCGGTGAGGGATTTAGCTCAGTGGTGCTAGCACTTGTCTGGCAAGTGCAAGGTCATAAATTCAATCCCCAGTACCAGAAAAAAAAAAAAAAAAAAAACAATTGTAACTTGTCCAAGATTACCTAGAAACTATTGTTCTACAGGACACAGTTTACGAAACTTGTGTTAGACTGACTGTGGTGGTTAAAGTGGAGTGTCGTCTAGCCTGGATGCTGCCCAGGGGATTAGTAAAGCCTCCTTCTGAGTGTGTCTTATGAGTGTGATCTTGGATCCATATATGGTCCTTTGATCCCCTTCTTCTCTATCACTGTTCCCGTGCTCTGCTTCCTGGCCACCGTGAACCAAGCATTGCATTAAACCACACCCTTCTGCCACAATATTTCTGCCTTGGAGTCAGCCAACCACGTACTGAATCTTCTGAAACCATGCGTGAAATAAACCTCTCTTCTCTTAAGTTATAGGTGTTGGGTAATTTCTCCCAGCAATAGGAAAGCTGACCAATGCATTAATGATTTATATGCAGTGCTGATTGTCCAGGATAGTTACTGTGCAGTACAGTAACTATTATGATATGTCTGCTTAACTTGGTGGACATTTTTTATTTCACGCTGCTGTTTGTGACTGCCTAGTTTTCTGCTCTTTAGAGAGCAGTCGTGTCTTTTGATTTCAAAATCAGAGGAAAGTATTATTCTCTCATTTAAGGAACCCTTACCCTGTGTCTACTTCATTAACTTTAAGGTTTGAACCCTGAGGTCCCTTTCATATCTAAATCTCCCCTTCCCTATGAGTGCTTCTCAGGCTCTGCACACACACACACACACACACACACACACACACACCTCGTGGTTAACAATCTTGCTCTTCAGGCCAGGATGCTTTGATTCTAACCTGTTTCCACCACTCACCAGCTGTGCTCATCTGGCCAAACTATTCAGTATCTCCAAAGTTTCATTTTCCTCATCTATAAATTGAGAATAATATCTACAGTATTAAGAGAAAATGTACAAAAACTCTTGGCATAGTAACTGGTCCATAAAAGTAATTAATAAATGTTAGCCATCATCTGTGTCATTCTTCCAGACTTTTCCCATTCCTGTACTTCTTATCTCCTTTCATGGCCTCATGATCTATGCATGAACAAACCAGAAACCTGGGAGCCTCCCCCCACTATGTCTCCATCACCACTTAACTCCTGGCTATTTTGCAGTCCACATCATTCTGTCTCATTATGGATGTTCCACATCATTAGCTCATCACTTTTCCCAGTTGATCCCCCACCTCCATTCTTTTTTCTCTACTGCAAATCTACACTGCAGCAATCTATTGAAATGCAGATCTCCTCAACAACTTCCCAATCTCATGCTCAGAATAAAGGCTGTGCTCTTTCACATACCTGTCTCTCTGCCTTATCTCCCACACTTACATCTCACTTTTCCTGCTCTACTACCACTACCCATCAACTTCCCATGTATCCCCTTTTCACCTGTAAGGTTCCAAATTTCCTTTGGGGCCTTCCCTGAACCACACAGGGAAATGCACATCCCTCTTTTATGCTCTGTAACATCCAGGCCTCATCACTGACTACTTTCTATTAATTTTTCAATCTTAAGTTTCACTATAGTTCCTTATAAGCAGAATTCACATCTTATTTATGTGTGGACTGCAGGACTAAACCCAGTCCTGACAACATGGGAGTTCTCTAAGTATTGGTTAAACTGGTCATAACCATCAGTGGCTAAAAAGGACAGTCTGAGAGTCACTCCATCTCTCCCTGCACCCAAAGCATGATGTACAAGCTTTCTCTCTGTCTCCCCAGAACTAGTCACATGTGCTGTTTATACAAAGCCCTTCCTGCCCAAACAAATTGCCAGCTAAGATAAATCATTGTCAGCCATGGAAAAAGGCCAGCCCTGATTTCTGCATTGACTTCCTCCTCACACTGTCTATGGGGTATTTGACTGAAATCTTTATAAGGAATGACAATCAACTTCAGCTGACTGAGTCAGAGGAAATAGATTGTGGGCAGAAGGCATTTTGCCATGCCCTTTAGTTAACCTGGTACCAGGGCTCCAGGATATTGGAGAAGGATGATAAACACAGGACATTCCCATTACAGCACAAACCCTGGTGCCATCCCGCTGCTGGGGAAGTAAGCAACAAGCAACACGAACAGAATTTTTGGAATCTGCCCCAATTCCTTTCTGACTTCTTGGGTAGCCTTCCAAGACATATTTCCCTAGGCAACTATTTATCTAGCACCAACTGTTATCCTTCGTCCTCCCCAGACTCCCTGAAACCTGGAGGAGCCAGCCAAGGTCAGCCAGGTGACTGCAAACTAGGGAAACAAGCACTGGACTGGAAATCAGGAAAGAAATCTCAAGTCTAGTTTGGATGCTAGTCATTCCACCTCTCAGAATCTGGGTTTCTCCATGGAAAAAAATGCAGGCTGGATGGGCTATCATGTTGCTGTCAGTTTCAAAGTCTATGATTATCTGATTTTA